GTATCTTCTACAAAGTAGCGTCTTTTACTTATTTGGAAATAAAAAGGGCTCGTCTTTGGGTATAAATAAAATAGAAAATCTTCATTAGAGCCTGTCTTTATTAGAGCACATGTTAATTCAAAATCTGTAGCTTTGAGGATTAGTTAAAATAGAGTTTCCAGTTATTGATTTCTGTTTTTTGACTGTTTTATATTTTAGGAGCCAAGGTCTTTTCAATAAGTTGAAATACATGTCTCCTTTCCAACTCCTCTTATCTTACGTGCAAATCCCAGAAGGGCAGGGACTTTATCTGTTTTCTTTATGATATCCCTAACTTCTAGAATAGTACCTGGCAAATAATGTGTGCTCAATCAATGTTGCATGACAGAAGATATTTCAAAAGAATTGAAGTTTTAATTATATGTGACGGTAGAATAAAAAGTTATTGCAAGAAATTGAGGCTCTGAGAGAAAAGACAGTTACTTCAGAGGGAGTTCAGTTGTGTATGAGTGCAAGAGAAAGAGGCCTATATGGTATGGGATCAGATGAGAAGTCATATAGGATGATAGAGCATTAAGAATTATTGCAGAAGTAACACAGATTGAGCATCTCTTATTCAAAATGAGTGGGACTAGATTGTTTCTGATTTCAGATTTTTTTGGATTTTGGAATATCTGCATTACATTTACCTAGTTGAGCATCCCAAATTCAAAAATTTGAAAGCTAAATGCTCAAATGAGCATTTTCTTTGACAGTCACATTGACACTCAAAACATTTCAGATTTTGGAACATTTCAGATTTCTGGGTTAGGGATACTCAACCTATAGTAGAACCCCTTTGAGGGAAACCCATGATTCTGCCACTATTGCCTATCATTTGGGTTCTGATTTTACTTCTCAGTTTATACAGTGTATTCACATAAACCATTGAAAGAGAAATGGCTTTCAGAGTGGATGGACTCTCTGAAAGAAGAGAATGTGTATGGAGAACTTGGGGGTCAAGAACTGAAACTTGCTTCTAGTAAGAGGGTATGAAGTAGAGCCATCATCATGGTAAAAGAGAAGTTGTTGTACTGAAAAAATTAAGAGGGTTATTGAAAAAGCGTGATTATGGAAACCAAGGTAATAGAAAGGTCAGGATATAAATGAAGCAGTTGACAATTTAAGGTTTAGAACAAAAATTAAGGACAATGATGAATAATTTACTCTTAGGAAATTCCTGGTTATATGAGAGAGTGAAACGTCCATGTAGAGAAAACATGACTCTGTAAGAATAGGATCATATTGAAGTGGAGAATGAATATAGAAGAAATAGAGGTAACAGTTATAAACTGGCTGCTTGAGAATTAACAGTGAAAGAATCTAGAAAAAGCACGAGGCTCCTGGATGGGTTATTAGGGTCACATGAAAGGGTTGGATTTTTTTTCCCCCAGGTTAACGTTTTCTCCACCCCATCTTCTGGTTAATTATCTCCTATCCCAGTACAAGAGTTCATTTTATATGCAAGTAGTTAAAAAAAAATTCCTAACTACTAACATAGGTACAGAAAAGGGTCTAAGACATACATATCAATTGTATACTCATTATTACATTATATACTTATGTAAATTTAGGAAGAGTCTACTTTGAATTTAAACAGATGAATCAATAAAATTAGAATATTCAACTTTATAAATAGTTTTAGCATAAAATATGCAGGTATGCTACCGTGTCTAATTGAGAATCTTCTTGAATAAATATAAAAAAGTTATTTTAATAGTTTTACTTCAGAATAATACACTCTGTATGTTTGGTTTGATTAATGAGCCTGGCAGATTAGATACATGTCTCACTCTCTTCTCTATTTGGGCAGGATCTAGAGTCATTTAATACTGGAGAGAGCAAGATTAATCCTTCCATATCAACTGACATCCTTTCAACTTACATTAAATTTATTGGTGATAAGAACCTGGACTCTCCTGAGCAAACTAAAAGAGAGAATAGCTGATATATTGGAAATGGGAATAAGAAAGGCAGGATAAATGTTATTGTACAGGACATTTATGGAATCAGAATTAACTTTAATAATTTCTTTCTAAATTAAGCTTTTAAGAAAGTGAAATCTTTTTTCATCAATCATAATTAAGAGGTATTAATTTTGAATACGTTTTAGAGTATTGTTTTAATTTTGGCTAGCCACTATAATTCAATCATAAATACAAGGAAATATGATTGGGAAATTTATTATCAGCAGTTGACATAGGGGAAATAAATATATTTTAATTATTATTATTATTTTTTTTTGAGATGGAGTTTCACTCATGTTACCCAGGCTGGAGTGCAATGGCCCGATCTCGGCTTACCGCAACCTCCACCTCCTGGGTTCAGGCAATTCTCCTGCCTCAGCCCCCTGAGTTGCTGGGATTACAGGCATGCACCACCATGCCCAGCTAATTTTTTGTATTTTTAGTAGAGACGGGGTTTCACCGTGCTGACCAGGATGGTCTCGATCTCTTGACCTCGTGATCCACCCGCCTCGGCCTCCCAAAGTGTTGGGATTACAGGCTTGAGCCACCGCGCCCGGCCAATATATTTTAATTCTTAAGCAACATTATGGCTGTATAAAAAAAAATTACCTGTATTCTTGCCTCCCCTAAACAAATGTTAGAATTACTGCATGTTCCCTTCTAGTTTTTAATCCATATATATTCAGAAGATTGAGAAGGGAAAGGGAATTATGTTCTTTATATTTTCACTTAGCTATAACACTCATGGATAGACTTTAAATGACTGATTTTCTATCATATATCATGATTTACGTTTCCCATTTCTATTATTAAACATTTAAGTGATTTCCACATTTTTCTATTCAAAGTAACACTGCATTTATTTTCATTTTTCTATAAATTTTTATTAATTTCCTTTAAGATAAACTCTCAGAAGTAGTTTTGGTCAACAGACGTGAATCACATATTAGTTGTTATGAGCTATTGTGTAACTTGCCCAAGGTCACACAGCTAGAAAGTGATAGAACTAGAATTAGAACCGAGCAACCTGGGACCATGTTCTAAACCAATGTACTGCACTACTGGCTCAAGAGATCCCCAATCCCATGTTGCTGATCTAGATCATGAAAGTTTAATATGCATCCAATTTATTTATCAAAATTATGGCATGATTTTGCTGTGTGTCTGACACTGTTAGGGATTCAAGAAAGAACAGAATATAGGCTCTGCCTTAAAAGCCTATAAGCTAATTGGGAAAAGGGAACAGATAGGTAAGAAAATATAATAAAATGTAATCAGTTATGTATTAGGATGCTATATGAAGACAAAGAAAAGAATGGCAAACTGAACCAGGTAAGGGGAGTTGAGTGTAAAGAGGCTTCTAAGTAGGATTGGGTTTGCTTGAGTGGTCTGAATTAGTTCCTGGGAAGCCAAATTGAGCAAGTATTGGAGTGTACTGCCGGCATCAGAAGACCATAAAGGCTACATGGAACTGTAGAGAAAATAAGCAAACTTTATTGAAACTTGGAACCTGGACTAAAACATGAACCTTGGAAGTTAAATTATGACTGAATGGAGTTTGAGGACTCCAGAGAGATTTACCCTCTCTGAGATATGTGTTTACATTTGAAGGGAGTAAGGAGTGGGTGATCCCTGAGACCGTGGAAATATTCCCTAAGTTGTAAAACCCAGAGATGCTATTCTTATCTTTTCCCTGGGAAAATTTGTTTTTGCTTAGGGATAGATTCTTCACCCAACCCATCACCCCACCCCACCCACTTGTCTCCAGAGGCAGGAGGTAACATCCCAGATTGGTATTTTCAGGGTTTCTTGCTGAGTTAATTTCCTGTTGCTGCTGTCACAAATTGCCACAAATTAGTGGCTTAAAACAACATAAATCTTATAGTTCTGGAGTTCAGAAGACTATAATGGTTTCACTGAACTACACGCTAGGTGTTGACAGGGCTGCATTCCTTTTGGAAGCTGTAGGTAAAATCCCTTCTCTTGCCTTTTCTAGCTCAACTATTAATCCTGTGACTCTGTCTCATGAATATTTTAGGAGGTAGGCACAACTCTTAGATCTGGGTTTGGCAGTATTCAAGGCAACTCACCTAGGCCTATCTTTGATAAACGCTCACTGTGGAATTAGTTCTTAGTCTTCTAGATCTAACCACAGCTCCCCTCAGAAAGTATTATACTATGTGCTATGGTCTGAATGGGGCATTAGACGGTGATTAGATCATGAGGTTGGAGCCCTCAGGAATGGGAGTAGTACACAGTCACATGGTGGGAGTAGTTGCCCCTCCCAACATGTGAGAGAACACAACCAGAACGCCTCTATGAGGAATGAGCCCTTATCAGACACTGAATCAGCTAGCATCTTAATCTTGGACTTAGCAGCGTCCAGAACTGTGAGAAATAAGTGTTTCTTATGGTATTTTTGTATAGCTCAAGCAGATTAAGACACTATGTAAATATATGCCTTATTATTTAAAAGGTTAGCTGATGGTAGAGAACATTTTCTCTAGATTTAGTCTCAGGCTTACATATTACTTACAGTCTTTAAGTTAGTTGCAACTAATATAGTAGTTGTCATCACTATTAAATAACTATGTGTGCAACAAATAGATCAGAACAATAAAGGAAGAATTAAAAATTAGTGTGGAATACTTAATATACCCTTAGGCATCTATATAATTGACATTAATCTGTAAATTACCACTTTTCTTTTCCTGTCCTCCTCACCCCTTTCATTTCTCCTTTTCTTTTTTTCTTCCTTTTCCCTTCCCTTCCCTCCCTCTTTATTAGCAAGTACTATAAAGATATTTACATTTATTTTCTTAGTATTGTTATTCTAGAATAGTTTTTTTTCAACTATGAGAATTAGCCATTCAAGCTGTTGTAAATCACACCTTCAGTATAAACTGGATTATCAGCTTATAAGTAGAGTTTATCTTCTAAATTTGTTATCTTCAATGTATTTCAAGGTAGTAAAAAAGCGGTTTTCATCCGTTTTTTTCTTCCTTTCCATTTTAGGACTTTTCTTGGTAGAGATGGAAATCCAAATAAACGGAATGTGCACAATGAAACATCTATGCATTTGTTGTGTATGGGACCTCAAATTATGATATCCGAAGGAGCCCTTCATCCTCGCTTGGCACGCCCCACAGAAGACGATTTCAGAAGAGCAGATTGTCTGCAGATGATCTTAAGATGGAAAGGAGCAAAACTTGACCAGGGTGAATATGAGAGGGCAGCTATTGATGCTGTTGATAACAAAAAAAACACACCCTTGCACTATGCTGCTGCCTCAGGGATGAAAGCCTGTGTAGAGGTACAACTTTTTTTTTTTTTTTTTAATATTCTACATTGTAAAATTTGTGTCCAGGTAATATGTAATTGTCAGTAATTGTTTTGATGTCTTAGTAACTTGTCTGGTTGTTTTTTGTTTGTTTGTTTTTTGTCTTTTGTCTCTCTAAAAGACCTTTTTAAATAAAGGGCCTCTTCTGGAGTGCAGTGGCTCAATCTCAGCTCATTGCAACCTCTGCCGCCCAAGTTCAAGCGATTCTCCTGCCTCAGCCTCCCGAGTAGCAGGGACTACAGGCATGTGCCTCCACACCCAGCTAATTTTTGCATTTTTAGTAGAGATAGGGTTTCACCATGTTGGCCAGGGTGGTCTTGATTTCTTGACCTCGTTTCCATCTGCCTCAGCCTCCCAAAGTACTTCGATTACAGGTGTCAGCCACCACAGCTGGCCTAGGGCCTCTTTTAAATAAAGTTATTTCATTATTTTAGGGAGAGAGAAAGCCCCACAGGTGAACAGTCACTTTTGTAATAAAGTAAAATCAAGAGCATTTAAAAATTTGTTAATATCTCCTAAAATATTTGTCATCAATTAAGCACTATCATATTGCAAGTTAAAGTAGAGATATATTCTGCTTTTTTGTTGTTTTTTTGGTCACCAATTTATAAAATTTATACATATTGAGTATAGCAAATTTTTGGCAAGTGGGACTTACAGTTATGTAAAATTGATGAGCTCACTAAGCAATGGATAAATACTAATGAATACATTTATTGGAGTCTTTTAAAAATCACTTGGAATTTTAAAACGTGTACTTTTCTGTTTAATTTGTGTTAAAGTGCTCCTGAATACATACTATATTGTATCCTAATTTTTCCATATATATTTCATGTATAAATAAGATTATTTATATTTACAAAATATTTAACAACAAATTAGATAAAATCACTCATGTAATATGGGATCTTAACTAAGGTAGGAAATCATTATATAGTATTGTCACTACTATACATACAACAAAATAGGTTTTTCTTAGCTACTGATATTCATATCCATCCTTAAATATCTCATAGAAGTTCTTTTGCATAAATGTATTTAAGTATGTATGGGAGGCATTTTAGACTGGATTACAGAGCATCTTTATTACCAAAAGTATAAACTCTTATTGGAAAAGCAATTATCCTAATCAGATTAATATATATACCTGAAAATTTCCTGTTTCCTTAATGTTTTTCATGTGTACTTTAGACTTCTAAATTGATCAGTATACCAAAAATATCAATGTTCATTTTCTTATATTAAAAGATTACCATCACTTATATTATTTCTTTAGTATATCTGGTGTCATTTCTTTCACTCTAATATGCTTGTGATCTTTTGTTTACTGCTGATATTTGTGATGCTTGTTAATCTTTTAGAATCTTTGTCATTTCATTGAGTTTGTGTAACCCTTACCTATTAGTTAGTTACTGATGGTCATTAACTTGAAACTACTTTTCAAGCAATGCTTTGTGTTTTTTTGTTTCTTTTTTGTTTTAAGAGACAAGTTCTCTATGTGTTGTCCAGGCTGGTCTCAAATTCCTGGGCTTAAGTGATCCTCCTGCTTCACCTTCCAGAGTAGCTAGGACTATAGGCACACACATGCCACCATGCCTGGCCACAGTGCTTTCTAACATTGATTCACTGTGGTGGAAGAATGTCCTAGGATTTGGAGGGTAGGGGACTTATAGCAGAATTCCTGAGACTTTTTACACAAGCTTCTCTGTACATTGTCCTATGTCTACCTATTGTGGAAGAATCCCTGCTATACTGACTCATCATTATTGAATGGGACTGTATCATATTTCTCAAATGGACTGGGGTAGAAAGTAGATTTTTCTGCATAGTAGAAATGCTCTTAAAATATTTTAAAACTATTAAATGCTCTTAAAATATTTTAAATATTAAAATGCTCTTAAAATATTTTAAATATTAAATGCTTTAATATCTTGCTTCCAAATTTTCTCTATAAACATTGCTATTAATAGTTGTTGATTTTGAAGTATGTTGACAAGGACATGCTTATTAAATTGTTCAAAAAATTGAGAGTGCATTACTTTTTGCTCAGTGCCAGGTTTATACTGTACTATCTGGCCGGCCTGACAATTTGCTTGATATTTATGCATGAGCATGTAAATGTGTGTGTGCTTTAACTGTTTGACCTATCAGCATATCACACCACATTAACCACACCATTTGATGACTGTTTTCATTTTCTGCATTCAGAAGAGCTCTTTGACTTAATATTAAATATAAAACTTTCCAAAAGGAGCCTTATAAATACCTTACATTTAGTCTAGTTTTTTCAAAAAATTAGCATATTTTATTCAGGTAAAGCCTATCTTTAATTTCTTATTTATACTTGATTATATATACTCTTGTCCAGCCTTCAGCCCTTAATGATTTTTTTATTATGTATACTGCTAATTAAACCAGAAGAGTTTCCCAGGGAAGTATATGTTGACTATCTCCAGAAGCCATATTTTGTTTTCTTGTACAAATGCATATAATAAATACAGTTGTGACTTGGTATCCAAGGGGGATTTGTTTCAGGACTCCCCACAGATACCAAAATCCACAGATGCTCAAATCCCTTATATAAAGTGGCACAGTATTTGCATATAACCTACACATATTCTCCTTATACTTTAAATTGTCTCTAGATTTAATATATAATACTTACTACCATAAAAGCATCATTAGGGAATAATGACAGGAAAAAAAATCGATGTTTAATACAGACACAACCATCTATATTTGTTTTCTAAATATTTTCTACCTGCTGTTGATTGAATCCACAGATGTGGAATCTAAGGATGTGGAAACCACTGATAGAGAGAGCTGACTATACATTGAAATATGTGACCTACTGTATAACTGTACAACTTCATTCTTAGTATGAGTCTGTACTTATTTTTAGGTGGTATCATACTACTTTGATGAACAGGAAAGACTTAGATGTCTCTTATAAAGTTTACTGTAATGGTTAACTTGAATAGTTTTTTTCTAAATGTATTTCTTTACATCATTGCTTTTACTCTCTGCCTATAAGAATAATAGTTATAACAACTAACATTTGTATAATGCTTTCTAATGTTTATAGTGTTCATTGGTATCAAGCATGATATAAAGGTTTGGGTTGAGTGAAAGAGTGTCATCAGATATTTATTAATGTTTCATAAAACTAAGAGATTATAGTATGGTGGAGGGAGCACTGATTTTTAGTCTCAGTCCTTAGAGTGCCTATTTATGGGACTTTGCATGAGTCACTCAGCCACTGTGATAGTTTCCTCTTGGGTGGTTGGAATAGATGATCTCAAATGTATTTCAAAGATTCCTTTTAACAGAAATTCTCTATTAGCCTGTTATTGTAGTAAAACATATCCCATTTTTAGTGTCTAGCCTTTAATATCAAAGAAAATATCTTTTTTCCCATGGTTAAAGCCAACTTGCTTTTAACTATGTCTGTGGAAGTATATCTTCTATAGTTACCGAAAATGTTTTTCTCTTTGATGCCAGTTACTAATGACATTTACAGGAAAATTTTTTAAAAATAGAAAAAAAAAGAAAAAATAGAGTTGATGAAGTCATCATTGGCATTTAATAATTTAAACAGTTTCCTGTAGCTCATTATTTTGCACCTTTGTAATAAAATATTTATTTTAAAACTTCCCCATCTCCCTGTAATAATCATGTTTGGTAATAAGCTCCCCCTCCCCATACACACACACACAGAGAACATAAAATTAAAGCCCCTTAATTATAGAGTTCTTCTGGGAACCACTGGGTGTGGCGGTATCACACGGTATATAGAGAGTTGCATTGGCTGTGTCTCTGATGCCTAGACTTGACTTCTTGAACTTTTTCATGCTATGTTGCTGCCTGGTTAACTTCTTCATATGGATATCCAGCAATCTTTCAAATTCAGCATTTCCAGAATTGTACTGTCATCTTTTCTAACCACTGGAGACTTCATTAATAGTGCCACCATTATCGCCTTATCCATTAGGGATACTCATACTTATCTCAGATTTTCCTTTTTTTTTCTTTAATTGCATCAAACTCATGCTACGGATGGCAGAGTGAGCTCTGTCTCTTTAGACCAGTTCCTTCATTATTTCTGTGGCCACTTTCTAATGCTAAGTGCTTTATGTTGAATCCTCACTTGGGCATATTTTTCAGAACTTCCTTACACAGAAAAATCTGGAGTTTCACAAATTAAGGATCCTAAATTATTTATGAGATAAAAATAATGCAGAAGAGTAGTCTAGAATTGTTTGAAAATTGGAAATGCTTATATGATAAACATTTATTAAGGACAGACTATAAATAAAGCACCTCAAATTCTAATTTTATTTACTATTCCAAAAGTTATTCACAGGTCAGCAAACTTTTTTCTGTGAAAGCCCAGATAGTAAATATTTTAGGCAACTCGACATTGTACCCTGCAGGCAGCCAGACATTACATATACAAAAGAGAATGGCAGTGTTCTAATAAATTTTTATGTATTGACATCACCATTTGACTTGCTTATAATTTTCATATGTCCTGAAATCTCTTTATTCTTTTCAACCATTGAAAATGTAAAAACTATTTTTAGTTTGTGGATTATACAGAAACAGGCAGCAGGCTTGATTTGGCCTAAGATGACTCCATACTTGAGAAGCTTATTTTAAATATATAAAATAGCGTTATCAATATGTAACAGGTCCTATAAGCTTCAGTTATACAAAGGATTTAAAAAGCACTATGTAGTGGATACTCAGTACACAAAAATAAAGCTCCATTAAAACATAAGTCCGACAAGAATTTAATAAATAATACACTTTTCTTAGTTGCTGGGAGTTTTGGCTTTCTGCTTGAGAACAGGAGTGGACTTTAGAGAGGGATGGTGGGTTAGATCTATTAGCATGGTCCAGTAAAACATCTGATGATATTTCCCCCTTTGGTAGACTTCCCCAGAGCAAGCCTAGTCATTAGGCCTCATTTC